TGTACTTTGTGCACGCCGCCTTATAATGTTATGTTTAAATAGTATGCATACCTTCTCCCGAAAGCACTGGTTGATAATATATTAAAGAATAGTTGGTAAATATAAGGCAATGGATTAAATGGTTTATTGAGTCCCTCTTTCTCGACAACCATTTTCATAGTACGGTCGACACAATCACTCGCCAATAGCACCAGTTTCTCACTTCCGGAATATTTTCTACACAAATATTATTAATTAGTATTTTGTTGTCATTTATATTTTTTCAATCAATAAAAGACTCACTGAATGGCTGAATGTCCGACACGTCTGAGTGCTTCCCACGTGTGGCCGTAATCGGCGCCCACTATATCCGTACGCTTTTCGTTATTTACAACTTCAACTATAATATCACATTAAATATAGTATAAATCATTTACATTAATCTTTATGTAATCTTATTGAATGTTGTGATTATAAATCATTTGAAACATATAAGATTTATAAAAAATAAGTTCAACTTATTTTGATGTTAGTGCAACAAATAAGTTACTTACAGAAGTAGTTAGACAGCCGACCAGTGAACTCATTTTTGCCCATGTTAAGAAATGGGTTAAGGCGTAGTAAATGATATTGGTCACCTAGTAACGGATATGATTTTCAGGTGTAAAACGGCATAAAAAACGATATGAAAAATTTGAGAACTCAGGTCACGGGAAAACATCCCTTTAAGTCTATAAATAATTATATAAATTATTAACATTTTAAAAATATTATTTAAATTTATATATATTAGTAACTTACGAAATACACTGCCTAAAAATGGCACAGGTATGGGCCCGGGAGGTAAAGCAAAAACTCGCTCATAATATTTGGCCAACTTATACACAATAAATGCAATTATTAAGGTTATGCCTGTAGTCCGAACATCGAAACCAAACAAGCTTAATATACTCGTGAGAATAGACATGGTCAATTTGCAATGAATTTCTAAGTTAAATATGAACAGCAATAAACTTTTGAATTCATTTTAAAGAAAAGAAACTCTTTATATATGAATACTTTGAAAATCTTATATAATTGAAGGTCATATGATAAACAAGTTTACAGTGAATGTTGAATATACTTACAGATATTGAATGGTGAGGACTGTCTGTCCCAACTGCACTAAAGCACAAGTATTAAGTAATTGATGATAACCAGGTGCATATTCTGTTTATAAATATTAAGTGTAATAGGGACACAGTGTTGACATTGCACCTACAAAACTTGTAGTTTTTGAATTGATTGATTGTTATATTGTTATTTGTACATGGAAATTACTTATTATGGAAAGATATTAAATAACTTTTATTTGACGACAAATATAACTTATGTTTTCATAAATAACATGAAGCTATGCTTTACATAATTTCTTATTGGAATATTTTAAACATCATATGATAAGCTATAACTATTGAATACAACAAATAATCTTGATAAATATTAATTTAACATGTAACGTATTATTATTGTCAACAAATGTTTTAATATTAAAATATGTGACCATATTTTTATGAATTCAATAGGATGATAATAAATAATGATAATTTTTACTAAATATGTTAATTTATGATATGTGCTTATAATAAAAGCCAATGGACTGCAGTGTAAATAATCAATTAAAAATTACGTTAAAATAAATCAAATTAAATTAATGGATCTCAACCAATTCACAAACATTTGCGAGAAAATTATAGATTACTTAAGTTTTCAATTTCCGGTAAAAATAGACAATGATTAACACTATATTAATAGCGCTATAATAATTCAAATGTTTGTTGAACTACTTGTAGTGTTTTGAAAAGTATCCGTATTTTGTGATAATTTTTGCAAACTATGATCGCTTCGATTCTCTATGATATTCGAGTCATGTATTGCACTATTAATGTGTCCATATATTTGATGACCATTAGTACGGATACTGGTTATTGTGTGCAGTTGGACAGCATGTGGACAGTATGTGGACAGCATGTGGACAACGGTTTGAATAGACACCAAGATTGCGGCCATTAGGTTGTGAGGCCATCGACTGTGGGCTCAGTTTTTACAGTCAAATACTGTTGAATAGACATAAGAGAGAAACGCATAATAAAAATATGACTGACTTTTTAAGTTATTAGAATCATATGGCTTTAATATGATGAATAATTAAATTAAAATAAGATAATTAAAGAATGCTAATCTATTATTTATATAATATCTAAATTTCATAGCATTGTATATTAATTACATAGTACGACATTTATATAAATGTAAATATTGTAATTAGTATATAAAAAGTACCATAATTATTAAACGTTGATTTCCATTAAATTTTTCTAATATAATTATTAATAAGGTAATTGTAAATTGAATAATTATATATCTGTACTAATTTCTATATAAAAGCAAAGTAAATTATTTAAATAATGATAATACAAGTAATAGTTTAGCGATAACTATAGATATTCTCTTATTAACAGATTTATTATAAAAAAATTTTTAAAAATTATCAAATACTGTAACACAATAAAAAGATAATTAGTACCAGCATACTATAAAATACCGTAATAATAAAGTTTGTGAAATATGCCATTCACAAATATTAATCGTTGTTCTGATAAAAGAATATTTTTAAAATTATTTAAATCTGTCCTGTACCTAAAATTAACTAAAGATTTGATTATATAACTAAAAATTAAATTAAACAAAAATTTATAAGATATAATTACTGTAATTGAATAAATGACATACAATAAATGGGACCATTAGTATTAATATTATATAAATGATCTCTTTATAATAATATTATTAACGATATTGTAATATTATTTTTACTACTGTAATGTATAGGAGTCACCATATTCTAATGGTACCGGTATTTAAAGAATATTCTTTAATTTAAGAATATTCTGACATTTAACTAATACTACAGCATTTGTTGTGAATGCTGAACACTTGTCGATTCAAAAATATAACATTAAAGTTTTTAATAAAAGTTTCTAATTTTCATACAGTATATCAATTATGTTTGAATATATTGTCAACAAAAGTTGTGTAACTTTGAACGCAAACCAAAGTATCACGGATTGGGCTATAAATTCAACAACTGACCCAGTAGAAACTAGTATATTCATGTATCCGCCACTTCTCACATACAATGAATGGTATGAAACCCTCTTAGACAACACATCCGTACTGTACTACCAATATTGCGGTCCGTTTGTAGTACTGTTGCAAACATTCGCTCAATATATCAATACTAAGTAATTTGTAAATCGTCCAGACCAATTAATCAAAATAATTAATTATAGAAATATGATTGAAATAGTTTTATACTGGATCGTCAGGAGAGTGATGATTATGGATTAGTTGATTTGTCGAGATTAATGAATGGTCCTTACTTACCTTTTTTTATCTATCCCTTTGAGCCCAACATGTTTGGCGCAGACTTGGCGGACGTGGGACTCATTAGCAGCCGGTTTATTGGTTCCACTGAAGGGGATGTCATAATCAGCAGTACATCATTGGGTCTGTATTTCATTATAGTGTCTAATACTCAAATATGTAATGAGCAGTAGTTTAGAGAATTTCATTAATCATCAATCTTTTAGACATAATTCATAAATGTTTAGTTCATAATTCAATTTTCATTTAGCACCTATGTTCAAATTCATTGCAATTCATGGGTTAGTTATAGTACAACTGCTTATACAAATTTCAGTGCCAGTTTTATTAATAATTATTACATACAGTACTCTATGATTATATTATCAGTTAACAGACATCCATTTGAGTTCATTAATTGTTGGGATTATTATATATATTTGTGGCTTTTATTATCGATAATATTTATTGCGATCATAACTGGTCTCAGATATCGATCTATGAATACATGTTTTGAAACTATTTGGGGATACTTTGCGGTCATTCTCTCGGATTCTTTCCAATTTAAAGCCAAAACTCAGTCATTTGACCGATTCTTTGCGGGAATGTATCTATTATTCTGTACGATCCTGTTATCCATATATTCCGGATTCTTATACGAGAATATAATAAGGGGTCAGGAGTTTGATCAAATTGAAATACGAGGCGATTTGTACACAAAGACTCACTGGAAGTCATCGAAAATCGCAGCCTTCGACCAAACTATGGTTTACTACTTGATAGCTGAACGCCAAACGGGTTCTCAAATGGGAATTGATCTCTTCGGGAGGATGGATCCGATGGATCCGTTATCTTTGATGAGAAACACATCCGAACAAAATCAACTCATATTTGATATCATGAACAACAAATATGCGTCAGTTGCGGCAAAACTGTCGGATACTATCTGTTGAGGAGTTTTATAGAAAGGAATCCTAAATGTAAGGAAAGGTATGTAGAGGACCGGGACTATTATGACAAACGAAAATACGTCGACACTCTATAAATGGCTGTTATATAAAGATGTGCTGGATGACACTTTCATTTATAAATTCAACAAAACGTGAGTCTAATTGAGTTGATATGATTTGTTATAATGAATTTTGTATTTCATTGAAAGAGTGACAAGACTTCAAAGCAGTGGTGTCTATGAGTATGAAGTGAGGAAAGCACTGAAACCCAAAGGCTTTGGACCCGATATACACGAGAAGCCTAAAAGTGATTCCGATCTCAGATTCATTTCGTTGACTGATTTGAAGGGGGCTTTCATTTTATTGGCCATTGGCTTAACATCTGCTATATTCTCATTATTTACAGAATTCATCAAGGTTTATTACTTTTGATAAAAGTGGCGCCAAAAGGGTTATTAATCTTTTAATAAATTAACAAATAATTAGAATTGATTAAAATAAGAATTTAAAATTTTTATTTAAAACCAAATAAATTTAAGAGAAATCCTAAAAGACTATGAATTTATCTTGGGCATATTTTCAGAATTAATATGCTAGATTCTTCATATCTATTATAACTAGTTAGTTATCTTGATATGATTGATCCCTTCCTATGCCGTTCCCCTCAGAGTAGAGGATAATTATTCAATACACGGATCACTTAAAAGGCAAACAAAGGCACGGCTTTGAGAATGGATTGATACCAACGAACCAGAAGTATATTTCCTATGGAAGCCATGGCTATGACCAGTGAATGGTTGTGCCCACCCGTCGCACCACTTTTCTCTGTAGTAGTGGTGATGGGAATGGAGGTTATCGGAGACGGGGATGTTGTGGTGGCGTACGGGTCCGAGGCTTTCTGGTTTTGGATCAATTGATCTAATGTCCAAATTTTAGCATTAATAGAGTTATTATATTACTGATATCTAGGTAATGAATTGAAATTAAACAGCACCGGGATTATTTAATTACTTAATGACTATCTATAAACTCTATATATGATAAAATTGATAAATATTATAATCTATGCAAAAGTTATAATTAAATTTAGATCAGAAAACATACTAATATTAAATAGTGTTCTCAATAAGTGTTACTCTATTACCAGTCATTTGGTTATATAATTACCTCGATTTCCCAGTGATTGACAATTGATGGTTAATATGAGGATAGAGACCAAAACCACAAATTTAAACATTTTAACTTTCATGACTTGTATGGCACACTAACACAGACTAATTTATAAAATTAAATTCCCAGACTGTTTAACTTGTAATCTGTTTATAGTCAACAAAATACTCGACAAACACTTGTTGCATACATTTAAAACTCATTATAATAATTTATTTAAAAATTATTTAATTATAAAAGTCAAAGGCTCTTAAATGCAATTATTTGCTTATGTTATTATGTTTTTGTTATGTAATTAAATTAATGGATAAAATGTGTAATTCAATATAATTTTTAATTGTATAAATTATTGAGCATTGTAATTAGAATTTAATAAATTTACTCACTAAAATTTTAGTATAATTAATGACTAAATGTTTATAAAATTATTTAATTGACAAACAAAATAGCATATGTTTTGAAATACTGTGGAATTTATTAATAAACTTTATTTTATTTATCATAAATTATAAAATTATTGGAATTAATAATATTTCTAAAATATTCGCTAAAATTAATCACTAATTTATTAAAATTAAAGTTATTAACAATACAAATAATGATGTTTTAACACCAAATTAATGTATGGTATTTAGAAAAGTAAAAATCAATGTCAATACAGTATTATAAAATGAATTAATATTTGTTAAAATAAAATGATCTAGCTTTTGACACAAAAACTTCCAAAATTCTTGCCCCTGGTTTCAGGTGGATAACCACATTTGGCTCCTGGAAATCGTTTTTCATTGTCTGCATTATCGGGTTTCACAAAATTATCCGGTAGACTATCGCAATGGCAATATAGATTATTTCCTAGAAAGTTATAACAAATTGTAACTGAACACAATAATTGTATACTTCATATTATAAAGTTTATAATATACATTATAGTTTGTTATAAGATTAGTTAATTTAGTTAAATTGTTTGAAATTTAATTAATACATGTAAAGTAAACACAATAATATCATGTATTTACCTCTCAAATCAACAGTCAGATTTGCTTTAAGCAAAAGTGTCCAGGTTGTAGATTCAAATTTTTCAATACCAGTGTAGCTTATAATTATTGTTTTCAAACTAGGTGGTATCTCACCCTGAATTTCAAATACTGTAAGTGACATTGTTTGGGATAAATCCAACAATTTAAGATTAACGTAGGTGGTTAAATCATATCTGAAATTTGTAAACCCACAGTTACGTAAGATAATAGTATCCAGGGTGGTCAATGTTTTGAACACATCAAGGTTATCAAATAATTTTTGCATTGTGATGGCCACATTATTAAGTACAAAGTCCCCTGCACCTTCAACTACAACAGGATCAGGATTACCCTGAATAGCAAGTGGGTGTCCTGCCCCTAATTCTGGGGCTATTCTCACCCACTCATCACTACGAATACCAGGGTTATTGTCAATGACCAGACCCTTTAATGACTTGCCCAGGTTTGTAAAAAATCCTTTCCCACCCTTAGAGCCAAACCCCTCCAGTTTTGGGGAGTTTTGAATAATAATTCGTTTGATTTCAGTCGTGTCTGTGAAGGGCTCATCCGGTAGTTGTGTGTTTGGGTAGACCCTGATTATGAAATCATCCACACCATAGCCATCTAGCTTTCTTAAATTATCTTTAAAATCAGATACCGTTCCCACAGCACCTGCACAGGTTACTGTAGTTTTGTATGCATAATCAATAGCAACCTTTAGAAAATATACATGGTTAAGTCAAATTATATGCTATTTATAATAATCTTAGATGTTATGTTTATAAATTAATTTATTCAATAATTATTATAAAACTCATATTTACCCAGAGATGTGTGCAAGTACATCCTTTGATGGCTATGGCTGGGTTCGGGTAGCACCCATACCAGACCCCTTCGCAAGCCATAGGATAGGCTATTAAAATACATACCAGTGCTGATCTCAAAAACATTTTTCAGTCTAACTAATTTAGTTTGCTAGTCACTAATTCTGTAATAATATTTTTAACAATTATATTATTATTTTTCGCTTAAAACACGACTTACCATTAAATATCATATTTCTTGTCAAATAAATGTTTATGTTATGTAAGTTAAATTTAAAATCAGTGCTATAATTAGGTATTTTATTAGGTATTATATTATTTTGATTTATTATTTTTGCCATAATAATTACATAAAAATTATATTTTTGGCACGTGTACAATAGTCATAGACAGTATGGTAACCATTGTGAGGTATTTTTAATAATTTTCATTGTCTAATATAATTACATTTCAGTAATAAATTAATTTTTTAAATGTATTATATTACAATGTTTCTTTAAATATATAGTAATTACTATTATACTAACAAATTGTTATACAAGAATTATAATATTAGTCTACTTCTAATAATTCTAAAATATATCTCCATTTAAATTTACCGTATTATCAAGTTTATAAGCATTTAATTAAAAATAATTATACAATACTGACGATTTAATTATTATTAAATAAACTAACAATAAAATATGTTAAATAAGTTTTAGTTATATTTAATTTTGTGAACTTATAATATGAATATATATAAAAATTATTTAAAAATTATTTCTAATTAAAACATTAATTTTAATAAATTTATTTTCATTAAATAAAGTTGAAAATGTACAGTACTACAACATTACTTAATTTGATTGAATAAAATACCATAAAATTTAATTTGTGGAAAATAATCAAGATATAATCTATAAGAGATTCTATGGTCAATATTAATATAACAAAACTCCTCTCAAATGGTTTTAAGATTATTTGATTGTAACACAAATTTGTAAGAAAAAATATTAAAGATATTGTAGTAAACACACTTTCATATAAACATAAAAGCGTCCCCAAAAGGGTTGTTAATCGTTTTAATCAATTAAAAATAGTTAGAATTGAGCTAGAACAAAACGAATTTTTGAAACTATGGAGTTGTGGCGCCAATACAATGATATGAGTAATTATCCTCTACTCTGAGGGGAACGGCATAGGAAGGGATCAATCATATCAAGATAACTAACTAGTTATAATAGATATGAAGAATCTAGCATATTAATTCTGAAAATATGCCCAAGATAAATTCATTGTCTTTTAGGATTTCTCTTAAATTTGTTTGGTTTTAAATAAAAATTTAAAATTCTTATTTTAATCAATTCTAATTATTTGTTAAATGATTAAAAGATTAACAACCCTTTTGGCGTCGCTTTTATTTAAAATAATAAACCTTGATCAATTCTGTAAATAATGAGAATATAGCGGATGTTAAGCCAATGGCCAATATAATGAAAGTCCCCTTCAAATCAGTCAATGAAATGAATCTGAGATCTGAATCACTTTTAGGCTTCTCGTGTATATCGGGTCCAAAGCCTTTGGGTTTCAGTGCTTTCCTCACTTCATACTCATAGACACCACTGCTTTGAAGTCTTGCCACTCTTTTATGGAAATACAAAATTCATTATAAAAATCATATCAACTGAATTAGACTTACGTTTTGTTGAATTTATAAATGAAACTTTCATCCAGCATATCTTTATATAACAGCCATTTATAGAGTGTCGACGTATTTTCGTTTGGCGCTACATAAAAGTCCCGGTCCTCTACATACCTTTCCTTACATTTAGGATTCCTTTCTATAAAACTCCTCAACAGATAGCATCCGACAGTTTTGCCGCAACTGACGCATACTTGTTGTTCATGACATCAAATATGAGTTGATTTTGTTCGGACGTGTTTCTCATCAAAGATAACGGATCCGACGGCTCAAACCTCTCGAAGAGATCGGTTCCCATTTGGGAATCCGTTTGGCGTTCAGTTATCAAGTAGTAAATCATAGTTTGGTCGAAGGCTACGATTTTCGATGACTTCCAGTGAGCTTTTGTGTACAAATCGCCTCGTATTTCAATTTTATCAAACTCCTGACCCCTTATTATATTCTCGTATAAGAATCCGGAATATATGGATAACAGGATCGTACAGAATAATAGATACATTCCCGCAAAGAATCGGTCAAATGATTGAGTTTTGGCTTTAAATTGGAAAGAATCCGAGAGAATGACCGCAAAGTATCCCCAAATTGTTTCAAAACATTTATTCAGAGATCGATATCTGAGACCAGTTATGATCGCAATCAATATTATGGATAATAAAAGCCACAAATATATGTAATAATCCCAACAATTAATGAACTCAAATGGATGTCTGTTAACTGATAATATAATCATAGAGTACTTTATGTAATAATTATTAATAAAACTGGCACTGACATTTGTATAAGCAGTTGTACTATAACTAACCCATGAATTTCAATGAATTTGAACATAGGTTCTAAATTAAAATTGAATTATCAACTTTGTCAATTATCAATCAATTATGAATTATGTCTAAAAGATCCATGATTAATCAAATTCTCTAAACCACTGCTCATTACATATTTCAGTATTAGACACTATAATGAAATACAGACCCAATGATGTACTGCTGATTATGACATCCCCTTCAGTCGAACCAATAAACCGGCTGCTAATGAGTCCCAAATATGTTGGGCTCAAAGGGGTAGATAAAAAAAGGTATGTGAGGGCCGGCCGTTACTTTGGAAAAATCAATTAATCCATAAATATCACTCTCCTGACGATCCAGTATAAAACTAGTTCAATCATATTTGTATAATTAATTATTTTGATTAATTGGTCTGGACCATTTACAAAATACTTAGTATTGATATATTGAGCGAATGTTTGCAACAGTACTACAAACGGACCGCAATATTGGTAGTACAGTACGGATGTGTTGTCTGCGAGGGTTTCATACCATTCATTGTATGTGAGAAGTGGCGGATACATGAATATACTAGTTTCTACTGGGTCAGTTGTTGAATTTATAGCCCAATCCGTGATATTTTGGTTTGCGTTCAAAGTTACACAACTTTTGACAATATATTCAAACATAATTGATATACTGTATGAAAATGAGAAACTTTTATTAAAAACTTTAATTTTACATTTTTGAATCGACAAGTGTTCAGCATTCACAACTAATGCTGTAGTTTTAGTTAAATGTCAGAATATTCTTAAATTAAAGAATATTCTTTAAATACCGGTACCATTAGAATATGGTGACTCCTATACATTACGGCAGTAAAAATAATATTACAATATCGTTAATAATATTATTATAAAGAGATCATTTATATAATATTAATACTAATGATTCCATTTATTGTAAGTCATTTATTCAATTGCAGTAATTATCTCTTATAAATTTTTGTTTAATTTAATTTTTAGTTATATAATCAAATTTTTAGTTAATTTTAGGTATAGGACAGATTTCAATCATTTGAAAAATATTCTTTTATCAGAACAACGATTAATATTTGTGAATGGCAGATTTCACAAACTTTATTATTACGGTACTTTATACTTACGTGGAACACTTGTATGCTGGTACTAATTATCTTTTTATTGTGTTACAGTATTTGGTAATTTTTAAAATTTTTAAATAATAAATCCGTTAAAAGAGAATATCTATTGTTATCTCTAAACCATTACTTGTATTATCATTATTTAAATAATTTACTTTGCAAGTTATATAGAAATTAGTATAGATATATAATTATTTAATTTACAATTACCTTATTAATAATTATATTAGAAAAATTTAATGGAAATCAACATTTAATAATTACGGTACTTTTTATATTCTTATTACAATATTTACATTTAATATTTACAGCATGATACATTAATTATATGTTACGATACTTTAAATCTATAATATATTTATTATCTAATCGTAAGAAATTAATAGAATAAAATTAAATTAATAAGTAGTATAATTTCGGTATACTAAG